TGGAGCGCGGTAACAAATAAGAATTCTAGTCGTAAGCTGATATGTAGTTTCTATACTTTTACCAAGGGGTTCTCTCTTATACAGATTAAGAGATAGAAGAAATAGAGTCACCGAATCTGAGTTGCTATTACCTAGAGTATTAGGAAAGACAGTAATAAGATAAGTTGCTTGCTATAAGACTTTCAGGCAGGTAATAAGATTGAAAGATAGATATCAGGTTGCAAGTAGTGCTTGCTCGCTTCGAGAGTGTTATCAGAAAAAGTTGTAAAAGAAAGATTTTCCGATTTCCTAGAATCTAGTTCTGAAGATATCCACCTGTCTGCATAAACAATCACCACCAGAATAGGCTATCCACCTGTCTGCATAAAGAATCACCACCTTACCTTCTAAGCACATTGACAGCTTATCATTTCTCGTACGCTATGACCCTTAGAATCGCTGGATGGCACGGAGTGGGACGGGTTAGAGATGCAAGGTAGGTAAGTAAAGAGTAGTCGGGTTATTGCAGCTATATCTCAGAATAGTGTGGAATCTATAAGGTAACTAGGCTTAGGGGAGTCCAATAGGGACATAACTAGTTGCTAAGCCCTGTCAGTCCTGTATGTATGGTATGTCCAGTAAGGCTATTGAAGAAAAGCACTGGGTTCCTGTAGAGTAGAGGAAGACTCGGGGAAGAGAGGCTTTCTCGTACAACAGCGAACTAAAGCTTAATTGAAGAGTTTCTTCGGTGAACGAAAGGTTTAGAATGAATTTAAGCAGTTTTTTGTTTAGTAAGTAGTGAGTTATATTTCCACTATGGTGAAATGCATGTATACTCGTTCTTTATTTAGTATTCAAGCCCATCTGTGACTTGCCTCCGTCGGGAGAGTGACTCGTGTAGTTCAGTTGGATGGAAGGTCGGCTTTGTCCAAACAAATCACTCCTTACAGAGGCGAGGGGAAAGAAAAAAGATCAAGAACGTCACCGACTCGATCAGCTACCTTGCCTATTCAAGCAAACTATCGGGGACAGCTTACCTTAGCCAGACCAGACAGACAATACAGTTCAACCAACTATGTGCTCTGAGCCGTTCCTTTAACCCAGCCTCCTCCCTGGTTTGGATAACCATTCCTAGTGACGGGTTCGGCGAACCAACTAATCCTTGCTTTGCTATTCCCCACGGATCGTACTTCGTTGCTTGGCCATCAAGTGTAGTGACATACTACAGTGTTGAGGCTATCCCTTATAGAGATAAGAATGAATGAATGAAGGAAAGTTGGCTGTGAGAATGATCCCAGTTCGTTCGTAGTCCTTGGCATCCCTATCCTCCCTCGAAGGTTCCTGGCAGAATGCTACTTCCTAGGTTGGGGTTAAGCCAAATACTTTCTCCACTAATCCAGTCCAGTCTCCTTCCTTTGCCGACCCTAGTACTTCCTAAGCCGCGTGCAGCACATGGTGGTTCTGCTCCGGCCCCAGACTCTAGTATGCCCCTTTTCCAGTGAGAAAGGCAGCTTGCTCCTAGATCTTCTACACTGCTTATCCGAATCAGAGGTGCTGATAGAATCTTTCATTGAAGGATCAGAAGGTAGCCTCGCCAACCTACATACAAGTTATGTACCAGTCCTTTCTTTATTTTCTATAGGTTACGGATCTAGTACGATATGCCGCTACCCTCTATTCCTAACCCCGGTGGAGTTCAGAAAGCACACAACCATTCATCGATAAAGTTATGAACATATAGCTGCAAAATCCCTACTTGGCAATTTCCCTTGAGCCAAAGGAAACTCTAAATTACCTGATTTCCTTCCTTCTTCAATGAGGGTTGTCCTTACTTCTATTAATTGTCATTACGACCGTACGACCGGCTATTGCCATTTCCTTTATTGAATTGAATTGAATTGAACCAGAAGAACTATTCGAGTGACGGGATGTCCCACCCCTATCTTTCCTAGTGAAGGGTTGTCCATAGTCAGAGGGATATTCGTATCCAGATTCCAATCCGAACCCTTGCTTGCATTGCTTTCGTTAATTGGGCGATGGCTATTCGTCGAGTGCTTCCTTTCCGAGAGAGAGGTCCTCCGCCGATCCCAATCCGAAGAGATAGAAGACAAGGTTCCTCTTCCCCGTTCGTGATACCCATTAAGGCTGGTAGGTAGATCCCACTCCAAACGGTCGGTTCCTGGGGAGAGGGTAGATCCTTACACTCTCGAGCCATATTTTAGTAGATAAGAAAGACCTACTGAATATTGCTTGGACGAGTTAAAGCAAACCTACTGAATATTGCTTGGATAGCTACACCGAGTTTCTCAAGATAAATACAAATACTTCTTCAGATAAATACAAATACTTCTTCTAATCCTTCGTCTTTATGAGCTGGCTTATTGGCTCCTTCCTGGTCAACTCAACGTGCTTCGTTTGCTTTTTCCTCTCCATGCACTAAGATAAGACTAGTTGTTGGTTGGTTGTAAATCTGGGAATAGTCCAGACTGAGAATAAGCATCATCTCGTTAGCGAAGGAAACTCACTCTAGTAAGATCAGGCAAGGCAGCATATGATCCAAACATTCACTCGCCAGTTGTTTCAATCGCTTCTTTATTTATTCTCAAGTCATCACTCTTTACCTCCTCAGCCGCATCAAGTGCTGATTTTTCGCTGAACACCTTCTTTGAATGCGAATCCGAGTAAGGCATCAGATCGAGGAAGGAAATAGAGAATGTTTTCATAGAAGCTTTCTTTTTCATAGGTCAACTCTGAGATGAGGTATGCTGAAACACAGGTTTTTTGAATTCTGCCTACGCCAAACTCAAAATATCCGTTCGAAGGTGACTGAAGTCCCATGTTTTGAAAGAGAAAAAGTTTCCGCTAGTAATTTTCCTCACCAGTCGAAAACCAATGTTGAGAGAGAATTCCAGATATCGATTAACAGCTTGCCAACCTATCCCTAGACCGACGGATTGATTGACTGACCTGTTTACCAGGGAGGTATACCAATACTAATTGCAACAGGAGATACCTATAGTGTTTAACAGACAGCTGACAGCTCGCGATGGAGAGACTTTCCAGTTGACAGAAGAGCGATTGCAAGAGATAGGGCACAGCTAGACGGATGGCACACAGATTTACTTATAGCTTAGTTTCCTATCGACCTCGGCTGTGTAAGGAAATACTTTTTGTGGGTGGCGGTTTTGATTTCTTTTTGTTATTATCTACTTATAACAACCCATACATCCTCTCTTTCGTATACGAGCAGTGAGTAGCTGTCTCGCTCGCTCCGCCATCAACAGGAAATCCATTCCGCAGAAGTAAAGTCAACTGATTCTTTCATTCCAGTTGTTAGCCCGCCCGTAATACAGCTCAGCTTGAGAGACTTACGCAATGCAATCGATGTCTGCCGGTATGGTTTTTGTTTATGGTATACCTCATCCCCGATTTGATTACTTTCTGCGGCTTATGCCTCTTACCCTGCTCTTTAAGTTCAGTTCCGGTTAGCCCTACTACTTATGGATTGGATTAGTCGCCAATAAGAGGAATCTATTTACTAGGAAAAAGTAGCGCTGAGAGTTCGGTGGAAGGGGAAACCATTCCCGTATGGAGCCAGCCTCCCTTAAAGGAATGTCTATATGGGGTCACCACTCTTTTCAGTAGAAGACTGAGTGGGAAGCAGCGGAAGACGAAGCCAATCGATAAGGAAAGGTGTAGTGAAAGTCCTACAGGCTCGTTCAGATGGCTAAATTCGTATTGAAGTAAGAAGGGAGAGATGCCAATAATAATACCAAATGGGGGGTCGGCTACGAAGATTTTTCTCCCGACTCCAGAGGCTAGGTAATAATAGAAAGATGAAGAGAAGTGGGCGGGCATGAGGTATCACAGGAATCTTCATGTTCAAATGTGAATGAAAGCTTTAATCACATCCGGATTTTCTAATCCTTACTTTCGGAGAGTGGATCTATCCAATTAGAATCCCCCATCCGTCCTACTCGTAATACAATAGCAATAGTAAAGACAGGACGGAGACTTTTGAAAAGAAAAGAGAAGTTGTGGTACCCATATCCGTCAATATTTGAATTTTCTTCCTACTCGTTGGTGTGATACTCCTAGATGCGAATGTTCTTACCTGGGTGGAATTAGCACTGTATCGGACTGTTTTAGGTAAGACAATTTTCATTTGCATCTTTTTCCCGTGTTATGGTATTCCTTATATCGATATTGCTATAGTATCTATATATTATCATATAGAAAGAAGCGAAGGGTAGCGATTCGTACTGGCTCCTATCCTAAAAGAAGTGCTTGAACTTTTTTCATATAGAAAGAAGCGATAAGACATGGATCCTATTCTAAAAGATGTGTAAATGTGCCTGTATGCTTTTGTCCTATCGGAAAGGAATCTATTCTAAAAGAAGTGTAAAAGTGCCTGGATACTGGTCGACGTCATGTGATCGCTACTAAAGATAGAGTTTCCTTGGAAAAACCAAGGCCAGTTCAAAGAAGTCTTTCTGCTTGGAGCAAGAAGCGGAACAAGAATAAAACATTCTTCATTTATGGATAACCAATTCATTTCATATGTAGGCGCCGGAATCATTGTTTCGGTTGCCATTTTTTTCGCTTATAAAGCGGGGTGGGGTCTTAGAGACCATTCCCACGCATTGAAAAGAGAAATGCTCTCTCAAAAGCTTGAATATAAGCTAAAAATGCTTTTTGAGCAAACTTCAGGTAATGCCCAATTGCCGGAGGGACTCGCACTCCAGGATATAATTCAAAATATGGTTTTTCCTGGGGACTCTATAGAGGAGCAGATTCTGACATTAAATCAGATCTATCTTGATCTGGTCGTTCATGGCCACGCTAGTCACTACTTTATAGACATTCTAAATTATTTGAATTAGCAGTTGCCACACTGTAGGCAACTAGCATTTGGTTTTGTCATGGAAGTTCGAATTTGTTTTTCGTTGGAAAAACCAACGCCCACCCCTATCTCAAAGTCTCCCTTTCTCTTTTCGGGATTGGGAGCAGATCTTCAAAAGATGGGAAATTCCGCGATGTTCAATAATTTTTTTAGGAGGAGCCCTCGCCGTGTATTGGATTTTGAGCAAGCAAGCGCTAGATCAGCTGAAAGTGCCGCGTGGGATCTCCCAAGGGAGCGCCGTATCTTTCAGTTTGATGAGGCGAGTTTGAATTCCACCAATAGTTCTATTCCTACCACCACAACAAGTTCTGTTAGAACTATGACAGAAAGATCCAATGGTAGTGTAGTTAATGAGAATGATGCGGGTTCAACTGGAGGAATTTATGAAGACCATCCAGGTCTTAACCCGACCGATGAAAGAGTAGTGGAATATCAAGCGGCTATACACGAGGAAATGGAGAGATTGATGATTGGCAGGAATCCCGCAGAAGTTCTGGCTGCGGCCGAACGTGTACACGGGGAAAGCAATGATCCAGAATTTCTTCAAGAGCAGTACCAGGATTTAGTGCAAAATGGGACTGCAAGTGAAGCCTTCCGGATAGGAGTGCAGGAGAGCCCAGGAGGAGAAGCCGTCCCAGCCAATCCAGGAGAAGCCGTCCCAGCCAATGGGGATTTCGCGGGCGGCACTGGACCAGTAATTGAAAGCCCATTGGATCAATTTTCCATTCACCCAATTCTGGATCTGAATATAGGCAACTTTTATTTATCATTCACAAATCTATCCTTGTCTATGCTACTCACTCTCGGTTTGGTCCTACTTCTGGTTTTTGTTGTTACGAAAAAAGGAGGGGGAAAGTCAGTGCCAAATGCATGGCAATCCTTGGTGGAGCTTATTTATGATTTCGTGCCGAACCTGGTAAACGAACAAATAGGTGGTCTTTCCGGAAATGTGAAACAAAAGTTTTTCCCTTGCATCTCGGTCACTTTTACTTTTTCGTTATTTCGTAATCCCCAGGGTATGATACCCTTTAGCTTCACAGTGACAAGTCATTTTCTCATTACTTTGGCTCTTTCATTTTCCATTTTTATAGGCATTACGATCGTTGGATTTCAAAGACATGGGCTTCATTTTTTTAGCTTCTTATTACCAGCGGGAGTCCCACTGCCATTAGCACCTTTTTTAGTACTCCTTGAGCTAATCTCTCATTGTTTTCGTGCATTAAGCTCAGGAATACGTTTATTTGCTAATATGATGGCCGGTCATAGTTCAGTAAAGATTTTAAGTGGGTTTGCTTGGACTATGCTATTTCTGAATAATATTTTCTATTTCATAGGAGATCTTGGTCCCTTATTTATAGTTCTAGCATTAACCGGTCTGGAATTAGGTGTAGCTATATCACAAGCTCATGTTTCTACGATCTCAATTTGTATTTACTTGAATGATGCTACAAATCTCCATCAAAATGAGTAAAGTCATTTTGCATAATTGCATAAAAACGAGAACTGGTCTAACAAAAGAGAACTACATATGGTCTGAGACTCACTTCCTTGAAAAGAGGAAGACTAGTTATGTAGGCAGTTACCGTGAAAGAAATGTATCTTTATCGGTTGCTCGACCAAAGCCGGTCAATAAGGCAGATCCGAATGCCACAATACCGGCTGTTCAATTTTAGAAAGGCCCATCTCCTGATTGTCTCAAATCGAATAAAACTCTTTAGCAATTGGTCTGACAGAACGGATGGTAAGGTGGGGGACCCATACCTTTATTCTATTCCCGTGCTTAGAGCGAGTGAATGAAAAGCTACGCCTGCTGCTTGTGTTGATTGAAAAGAAACCTGTCGGGAGACAGATCGATGTAGGCGCTCGTCCACTGTTGGCGGTGCTACACCATAGATTTGTACCTAGGAGCAAGAACCGTGGCTTCAGGATCAGCTAAGGGTTAATGGGGTTTCTGATACCTTCTATTATTCGTTGAAGCAGGTTCTTTGACTCGGTAGGCACAGCTAGAAGTCACACGAGGTACGCCGGATGAAAGTTTCCTTCTTTCCATGATGGATCTGTGGCCACGAAGCCACTAATTGCCGAGCAACGTTTGAGTCATTTTTGTTTTTTAACTCGACTACTCTTTATTGAATAGACGAAACAAGTTCTGCCTGCAACCTAGTCAGACAGAGGCTTACATCGAAGCAAAGTTCAGTGATACTAGAGCTAAGAGCATGGCGTGCACACACATGTGCCGCTCTGTTTGCTTCTCTGCGAACAAAAAGAAATTCAAAACCCTGGAACACGGAGCATAACTGCTTCATTTCTTGCACAATCTGGAACACAGCTGACCGCTGTTCCTTCTCCTCCTGCCATGCTGAAACCACTGTCTGGCAGTCAGTCTCCACACACACCTTCTGCATCCCCGCTTGATGTGCCCATTCAATCGAATCCCAGCAGGCCAGTAGCTCTATGACGAATGGATCCTGAATATTAGCATACTGCTTGCACTTGGCTCGAATGAACTGGCCTTGATCATCTCTAACAATCATTCCAGCGCCAGCCCTCCCATTCACAAAGTCGACTGCACCATCAGTATTTACTTTAATCCAAAAGTGACGGTTTCCATCTCGGTACTTCTGTCGGTACCACCACATTTGACAATGCAGGTACTTCCAATGCCTTCAACAGCTCCTCGACCAGTTCGACAGATTTCTGTGGTTGATACTGAACTTCCCCATGGTGATAGCTATTCCTGCTCTCCCCCAAATTGTCCACATAATTGAGATCGCCACTGCAGCATCCCTCTTGCTGACCACCTTGTGATCAAGGATATCTTCCGTCCATGTTGCAGGGTGTAAATTCGGCACTTTCAGGCCAAAGTGATCCTTTGCCATACTCCAAAACATTCTTGCATGGTCACATTCCACCAGAGCATGGAACAGGGTCTCCATCTCATGACCGCACAACGGGCAATTACTAGTCTCCTTCATGTGACGTCTTCTCATCTCCCCGCAGCTCGGTAGCCAATTTTTCCCTCCACCAAAAGATACGGATTTTTGGCATTACCTGTAGGCGCCATAATGCTTTCCAGGAAGCCTCTTTACCATCAGCATTACTTGCTAGATGATCATCAGAATTCTTTTGCTCCGACAGTTTCCGGTAGGCTGACCTGACTGAAAACAAGCCATGCCGATCCCAAGCCCAAGCCCAAATATCACTATGTTGTCGACGGGGTCGGGGCATGCTCAAGATCGCTTCTGCATCCGGCACCAGAAACTACTACCCTCAAGAACAGAAAGAATGGAGTGAGTGATGCCCTGGCAGGGTATCAGGAACGGATCATAGCTTCCTTGCCAGAGAGTCAAGTTAAGACTATTCTTGGGAATTCCGACCTGGCTCGCTCAATACAAGCTGACTAAGAGGTTGAATAAGCTGGCCTCGGGCATAGTTTACTAGGTCGGTCGTCCTTGGGCAAAAAAGACCAGGCTTGGAGTAAGAGTGATAAGTACCTGCACCTGTATAAGTCAAGTAATAAGTGGCAAGCTAAGCAGTAGTAGTAGTTCCTGTCATTCAATAATCAATCTATACACCAGACTCTGTTGCTTGGTTTGATGGATACCCGGCCTAACTCATGGACATGTTTTTTCATACGTTTGGAAACGAGCTTTGAAGGAAGAATTCACATCCGTTTCATCCACTAGGTAGGCTTATTTTACTAGTCAAGCAAGTATCGGACAACTGCGAGCGAAAGCAAGAGATGTTTCTCGAGCTACAGATGTGATTGGTTGGCCATGCTCCTCTCCTACTAATAGAATAGGGAAATCAGAATCATCAGCTGGGACTTTGACAACGTTGTATGGATAGGCTGGGACGACGTAAGGATTAGCTTATTTTTCTGGCTCGCTCCGAGCTTAGTTTGGTTATATAGGACCAGTTTATCTGCCTGCTTTAGGTTCGAAAGTCCAATTCGTCTTCTTCACTAAACGCTTTACTCTCAAGATGAATAAACTCGTTCCCTTGCTTGTCCGAGACCTGATTCGATAGTGGTGTACGGCAGATTTCATTACTGTTGCTAATAAGTCAGTAGAATAAGTATGCCGAGCTGCGGGCGCCAATTCCCTTATAAGGAAGCCTCTCTTTTTAGACTAGTCAACCTATGCACGCCTTTTCCAATATGCTAGAGCAGGCGATTGTTCAAGGGTAAGTTACTTCCTCCTTTATGCAGATGAAATACTTGCTTAAGCGTGAGGCTTAGCAAAAGTGCTTTGACACAGTAGGAAAGGTCAGTACTTATCTTTGAAGAAAGACCTAGGCCTTATGATCGATCCTATGGTAAGATGTTTTCCCTTACTTAATTAATAAGCAGCCATAGTCCGTGACTAGGGGTAAAGCCCCAAATGTTGGGCTAATTATAGAAGGTTTGAGGGACGGTACCTATAAATTCTGCCCAATGTATCGCACGTGAATCCCTAAACCTAAGAGAAGCCTGGTGAGTTTCGACCAATAACTCAGCCGGCGGATAAGGATCGACTGGTACTGGAAGCCATGACCGCTTTGTTGAATGAGGTGAGCCTATCTTTCTGGATCTACATCACACGGCTTCAGAAGGGGTCGAGGGGGGAGAACTTTATTCCTCGCAGTACCCGAGTGGCCCGATATGAAATGCTTAGTTCAGTGCGATGTCGTGAAATGCTTTGATAGCATCATACCTTGCTTATCTTCCTTTAAAATCACTACCAGGCATGAAAGAAAACTTCGGTTCCTAGCAAGCAGTAGCATTAGGCAAGTAACAAGACTCGGGATGAGCTCCTTAGCCTTTTACACTTCTCATCGAGGATGCCCGTAAGGAAGAGAAGGCCGCATCGCTGGGCGCCAGCTTTTCTTTTGGAAAAATTCCTTGATATACCGCATCCACCGGTAATGGACCTACTCACCTTGCTCAAAGATTGAAGTTTGAACTAGGAAGTGCTCTTTTGGAAAACACTTTGGAACGAGGTCTCATAGATCAACGAACGAGATCTCATAGATCAACGTAGGCTTCGCACCCATCCCTTCTCAAGGGACGCTCCTCCCCCGAAAGCCACGGTGAGGAGGGAATACCACCAGCAATGATGATCGTCTTCCTATTCCTATTTCTATTGCTATTACCAATTCAAAAGAGCCGCTAAAACTGCAATGAGCTGGGTATGTTTATAGTGATTGATTTTGTTCAACAACCGGAACGAGGTAAAGGTTAATCCCTTGACCGAGTGAAGGCGAGCTCGGATTCTGAGATTGACGGGGTTGTGAAAGGAATAAAAGGCAGAAGATCTGATCGGTGAGGTAGTTGTCTCTACTCTTCTCTTTTAGCTGTCTCCCCTGCCGGGGGAGGTACGAGGGGGAACAGTGACGAAACAGTAGGTTAACCCTCATTTCTTTTTTCATGTATTCTTCAATCCCCGAAGGGCGAGCTCGGATCCAGAGATGGAAGCAGTTATGAAATGAAAACAAGGACAAGAAGACAAGAAAAAGAATAAGATAGGTGAGGCAGTTGTGTTGAGGCTGTTGTTTGTTGTGTTGAGGCAGTTGTTTCTAGATTGTTTGATAGTATGGTATTGGTATAGTGTCTGGTGTCGTGGGTTAATCAATCCGGAACGATAGTGGAGGCGAGCCCGGATCCAGAGAGGGATTCTGAGGTAAAGTAGCTAAAATAAGGAAAGCAAGGAGAGCGCACTCCTCTTCCGTGTTGCAGTGCATTACTTGTGATGGTGTTAGTGCATCCAATACACCTGAAGAATCCTCCCTTAGCGGTCCCTTCTATTGAATACCAAAAACAAAAGGTATTTGCATCAACATTTCCCTTTCCCTCTATCCGTAAACGGTATCTAGTGGGCAACCCAGTTTTTAAGGTAAAGTACCCATTTATTCACCCAATCAAGTCAGCAGGATCCACAGAAGCAGTCTTTTCCACCACATCTCCCGGGCCATCGAATAAGATTTGGATTTGTTTACGAGCGTATCTTTAGACTAAGATTTTCTGAAAGAGCGAAGCAAGCCAGCCGTCTACTTTCCCAACCGAGTATTATAATGAGCCAAAGCCAGCCGAAGAATCTTTTGGTTGTGTCCCCATGGGTAGTGTCCCTTAGTTTTGAGTATAGCCGGAATTACAAACTTTCAATTAGAATAAATCCGCCTAGAAAAAGTAATTCCTTTTATCGGCTCACCTATTTGCTGATGAATCTTACTTGCTTGTTGGTAGCGGAGGGTTGGTTTTTTCAGTTCCTTATTTCCCCACCTTCTCTACTCGAAATGGTAACCAGACCTTACAATTCAAATCTCTTAGACTAGAGCTCCCAGGATAAGATTTTTTTGATCTATCGAGCGAGCCAGCTATAGGCCCACCAGCCAGCGCCAGGTTTGGATATGCAAGCTTCGTGCCAGCCAGTCCATGACCCTCCCCGGCAAGTCAATAATCTTTTTCCTCTTCAAGTGAGGAAGAAGTGTCAAAGTCTGTGATCTAAGTACCTGTTCTCTCAGTACCTTACAGTAGTGAATACCCTGTCTTGTTAGAAGGAGATTTTTGCTATTAGATACCCTCAAACCTTGTCAGTCAGGATTTTAGTTGCTTCTTTGTAGGCGGATACTGAACTCGCTCTCTGTAGGTTATGGGTATCGGGTCAACCTTCCTTATCGGGGAACCCTTCCTTCTCACTCTGCTTTTTGACCAGCTTTTTGTCCAGCTCTTTTGCCGAAGGCTCGCCCACAAAAGCAGAGCTAAGGGTAAGAAAGCTAGTAAGAAGCTGGCTAAAGGACGGATCGAGTAGGAAACCCCATATTTTGGTCATAACATTGATTTGAACTAAAGAAGGAAGTTTTTTTCTGTATAGTATAAAGAGAAGGGATTGGAATCACGGTAGCAGTAGAAGTTGTTAAGCACTGGTTGATGTGATCAGTCAAGGAATATCATAGGTAACGGAGGGAATGGTATCCTGGAGGACACAATGAATTTACAAGCAGATGAGTTTGCAACTGATACAACAACAGAGTGAAGAGTTTCAATAATATGCTGGTGACTACGAGATTGAACATTAGTTCACCCTCCCAATGGAGTAAGCCCTTGTGAGTGCGGTAGCTCGAAGAGAAGATAGGGGGATGAGCCGTAGAAGAGATTCTATTTTTTTTCTTTGCGCGAGGAAGCGGAAAAGACAAAACCCTCTCTTGGAGAAAGCCAGTCCGGTTGGTAATTCCACTATAACTTGATAACTTTCTGGAAAAAATACCTCCCTATGAAACCCCTGTTGATGGATTCTGGCAAGCAAAAAGAAGACCTAAACCCGACTCTAAAAGCTTCAGTTGCCTCCCTCTCTCCGCCAATGGCTAGGTTAGCTATCTCTCTCTCTCGCTACGCCCCTGACCCTTATAAGAAATGACACATGCCATCCCGATTTGAAACATATAAGAGTCGTGGCATTCTCCGCATTACCTTGCCCTATCTTCACGCACTCAAGGATGAATCTGTGATAGTATACTTTATACCCTAAATCTGGAATCTAATCTTTCATGACGTGAATATGTGCTAGTATACTTTTTATCTGGAATCTATTCTTTCATGACGTGAATATGTGTGGTGTTAGTGGACTGACAGAGTGAGCTGTAAAGGTAGAAAAAAAAGATCCATCTGCGAGTGGTTCGGCTTTTTCCTGAGCAAGGACGGAGCCGTCGAGTGAGGATTGGCTGAGCGTGCTTTCGCTGCTCGTGGTGGAGTACTCTTTTAATTATTCGCTCTATTATTGCCTCAGGATGTGATCGGGATTAAGCCGCGTGTCGATACCCGGGGGGGGCCGGACTCAAGGGATTCATTCTTTTTCGCACTAATGGAGGACATGAATTCTGGGCAAATTCTCTATGTTACAGTCTATTAAAAAAAGGACTTCTAATAAGAAATTCTTCTGCTAAAGAATAGGCTCGCCTATAAATAGAAGCTTCGGCGCACTCTCTATTTTGCGGGACAAGAAAGAAAGAGTCAAAGCCATGGGTATCGCTGCAAGACTTGCAATCATTCCTCAAGAAATTCTAAATATAGAAAACGAGAAGCTCGAACTAGAGCAAAGCCTGGATCTCACCCAGGAGCCTATGTTTCTCTCTTTCGTCGATCCAGTAGTTTGGATACACAATCCAGTAGTTTGGATAGAAAATTATAGACTTTATGTTCGGGACAAAATCCGCATTCTTGAAATGCGGAAGAGGGCGCTGCTGAGCGAACAGCAATCGCTCATCGTGAAGGCTGCCCTCCGCGGTGACCGTGGAAACTAAAATAGAAAAAAGTAGTTACTCGTCTATCTCAACGTAAATGAACGAAGTCACTTAAGTCTTCCTACTACTACTGCTCCTTCTTACTTATTTTCGTTTTTTCAGGATCTAAAGAAGAAGAGGTTTTCTTAGCGGGCGTGAATCCGGTAGCTTCTACTTCTGTTCTGTTGTCTCACTTATGAGGAGCTGGTACTTCCTGATCAAGAGTGTAGTGAGCATAAGTATTGTATTGTTCAGTATTTTCTTTTCAGGTGTGGTGTGTAGAGATATTGCCTTTATGAATAATACTTATGTATTGCCTCTTCTTCTTGTTGTAGAAGAATACTGATGTATTGCAAAGACCTGTTGTTGTTTTATTTCTTTATTTCTTCCTTTTCTCGAATAGTAGTTGTTAGCTTTGTCTCTAGCATGTTGGTTTGCTTCTAGCATTTAGTAGAATAAGTTGCATTAGCAAGTTCATCATTTGAAAGTGCTTTTTCCCCTGTCTCCTATGATACCCGGCTGGCTTGATTTGGTATGCGCTAGATGAAGCATCCATAGTAATAGGTATAGTATGAACCCTCTCAGCAGTGACCCCTCTCAGGCTCTAGGTAATGAAATGTGAAATGAATTGGAACGGTTTTAGAATGACTAGTAAATGATACTAATTCATCGCACCACTTTCTTTCTGTCATATACCATCTTGGAAGAATGTAGATTGCATTCATCGCAGGGTCATTTCCTGAAGGAGGCTTGTACCAGCTCTTCGTCATCATAAATAGCAAACCAATCCTTGTTTCTATTGCATTCTATCTCATCGTATCACATTCTGTTCTACGATTCCACTTCGACAAAAGGAAAGAGCATATACCCAAGTGAAATAGCTTTACCTCCGCTATTCCGATCATGATTTTCCTACCCTCAGGGAGAAAGTAAAGGTCCTTCCCCTTCCCTTATACGCAAAAGATAGAGCCTACGCTGTTCAAGATTGGCGTACTGTTAAATCATCCACTGCTCTCTTTCCTTGCTTTTAAATAAACAACTACTTCATTTTCATTCATTTGCAAGACCAGGCTTGCTCTCCGAGTCCCCCTCCTAAGCGAAATACTAGAGTAGAGGGCTTCCCTTACTTGCTTCTGGTTGATGACAGCTACATCCTTAGCTGGTTTGTCAAAGCAAGGAGTGTTCTTTCTGTCTTTCCTATCTTATTAGCTGATAAGCACTAGCTGATGGGGGAATCTATATAGATAGAATTCACCATTTGGATCGCCATCCTTCATGTTTGTTATAATTTGCCAAGCTGCCATAAACTTCAAAGGGTTTCTTGCCCTATAAGCATGTAAACATAACAACTCAGAACTATATTCCTGATAAGGAAGAATCATTTCATTCCAGAAATTCCTTTGCAAATTGAACTGTTTCCGAACAAGCTTAGGATGTAGTTCTGAGAGATAAGAATGCAGGAAAGAGAGATGATCTTAAAGAAGATAACCAAGTGGTGTATCAGCCTGATAGCTTGCTTAGGTTAGGTCAACAAGCTTTTAGGTGTATTCACGGCACGGATAGTAGAGTAAGTCAAGTAAAAGCATTGGGTCAAGTATAGATGGGTAAGCTTATACCCTAGATAGGTAAAGAATCAATTCATGGACAGGAACGGTTTTGTCACCAGAATAATAGGTTTGCTAGCTTGGAGAAGCAGATCGGCATGAACGGCTTTCTGTGGGTAGGGATCGTCCGCATAACTTAATAGGTATTATGAACGGGGATAGCTGCTCCCTTTCTTTCCTACTTGGTTGGCACCAGGCGAGGGCAGATTCAACAAAGTTTCCCTTGCTTTGATTACAGTAAGAATTTAGAAGAGGATTTACAAGCGTATTCTAATAAATTGAGCACACATAAAAAATAGAAAGCTAATTCCCTTGCCATTAAGCTAATATCTCCCTTGCCTCCACAAGGCTTCCGAGAAAGGTATGTTACGAACCTAAGTACGCCTACCCTCCTATTAACTTGATTAATTCTTACCTTTGGACGTTAGGAATGAGAGGAATGAATAGACGACGTACTCTCTCTAATCGGTGCAGCCCGCTGAGTGCCCTTACTTCTAGGGGAAGGGTCAAGGCAGAGGCAGAGGCAGCAGGTCTAATTCCAGACTAAACTAATAATAGTTTGCTCGAGAAAAGGATAAGACATGGCTATCGCTTCGACTGCTTCTCCGGAGGAAAAGATGCCTCCCATAAGATGTGCCTAGAGATAACAATCATTTCTGAATCTCGTATAAGTGATCAACTACTTGATTGCCTCCGAAAAGGTGGACAATCAGGAGGAAATGCATTATCTCCCTTACTTACTATGCAAGAGGGACAGCATAAGTATGCCCTTTTGAGGGACTATTTCAATTCAACAGTCCTGAGGGTTAAGGTCAGATGAATTATCACGAGCGAGGAGAGAGAAAGTGCTCTATTGATTTGATAGGTAGAGGCGGTAGGGAAGAAAACTAGACTCACTCTACTCTCTCGAGAGGATTGACTTGCGATCATATTGAGAGTTATCTTTAAGCCGGTTTTTTAATCCATTTGAACTGACATATAGAGGTCCTGCTTCTCCAAGCTACTTCGCTTCCTATTGATAGTTTAGTTGGAGTGCCAAGCCCGTAGAGAAAAAGTTCTGATCCGTGTCAGTCCAGATGAAAAACCTGCAATTGCTGGAGCCGGGGCCTCGTAAGTTCTATTCCAGTGGTGTAAGCGGGTGAGCAAGCAAGTGAAAGAAAAAGCAAATTCCACTACTGTAGACTCGGCAAGGGACGGAGGGTAGGCTACTATTGACTTTAACTAAAGGAATGGCTCTGGTACTTAGGAGTGATTGGGTTGTCCCTTCACTCAGAAGATAGGGTTGTTTCTTGCTTTGGTTGAATCAACCCTTCACTCGGGGGAGCGGACATGGGGTTCTTAGAAAAGCACTAGCCCCGACTGACGATGTCATGTAGCAGCAACTAATTCTAAAATAGGAATTGGCTTGGCTGGCGGTATGATACGAAGTACGAGCTGGTTGAATAGCAATAACCGTTGGACTAAGAAGCACTGGTTTGAGGAAACGGGAAGAAGAGATAGAAGGGATCCATAGTTTGATGGGGTTTGACCTGAACTCGGATTCTTAAAAGAACTATAGGGAGAGCAACCTTGGTTGAACAGTATTATCCTTTTGCACGCACATAGGGAAGACTACTTTATTGATCTGGTGTGATCGACTTGCTTAGGGAAGGTTGAGAACTTTTCTTTTCCTTTCAAAAAGGAATCAATGGCGAACGTACGCTATCCAACGGAAGTCCCGAGCGATATGACTATTCCTATTCCTATCCTTTCCTTTCATCCTTAAGCGAATGCTGGAACAAAAGTAAGGTCTTCCCTCGAAGTGAAATGAAAGCAAAGGTGCCTTAAAAGAGGAGTGGGGGTTGTATTATTTTCGATTTCCACAGGATCCTTCTGGCAAGGGTATGAAATTGATTGTTTAGATGCATGCTTCCCAATTTGGTAGATTAGGTCAAGCTTGTGAAGGGAGGGCTAAGAGGAGGATCTTTCCCATTGCTAATTCGACAGGTCTTTCTTTCCCTACTTGCTAGCCAACCAGGGGTTGTTACCTAACATGTGGTAAGCACTATACTCCATTACTTTCTCAAACGCTCCACTCAGCACTACCTCCTTCCGTACTGCTCCCTCTTGCACACGAACAGCTGCTTCTCCGAGACCTCGCCACCGCGGAGCGCCATACTCTTCCTGCTGCGAAGTTACTATTGATCCATTCCTTTCCTATACCGCCCCTTACGATCGATACCCAGAAAGTGGTTTCCTTGGGTAAGAACAGAGATGAAGTACGTCCCTTACCATAGTCTATATCCACTAATGTTGTTGTTGTTTTATAGAGGAAGACTCTCGGGGAAGACAGGCTTTCTATACCATTCCCAAGTAGGCAACCAAGTAGGAAACCCCTTCTCAAGTAGTCAAGTAGGTTGTAGGATTTCAATCTTTGGTATCCTTATATGCTTCAATGGGCGTGGCCATTTCTATTTACTGGCTAGCCTCATTCAAGGAGCCATTCCTTTAGTTAAACTCAATTGACATCCGGAACAGAGAGGAAAAGAGGAAGCAAACATAGCTAGCTCACGAAAGAAAGCCTTGCAACTACGCGCTATATATTTGATTTGCAACTGCGATAATAAGGGCACATCCGCTTTCTCTGTATGTGGATTAAAAAAGTACATACCATATTTTTTCCCTTGCTTTGCTATTTGAATGCTTACCTCAGTGCAAGAGCAGGGAAGAGGTTTGATTGCTAATAAAATGAGTGGAAGAGCTGCTCGAGAAGAAGCTGTAGCTGTGGTTGAGCTAGTGCTTCATACCTTACTGGACAAGGAAGGAAAGGCAAGGAGGATCAGTACGGGAGAGAAAGTGATTTAAGAATGTGAATTTGATTTTATAAGTAATCAAGGCAATTGCTTAGTGAAAAACTAAACAAAACAGATTCAAGTTAGCCCAACCCAAGGGGTAATCCAGCTACAAATGAAAGAGTAAAGCGCATTATCTTCATTCCACTTCCAATTAGATGTGTTACGCACAGTGACATTTTTGTTTCCTGTTAGGAAGAAATGGAAACAAAAATGGACAGATATTTCAATTTCTCAAGTCTTCCACGAGCTCTCTCTCTTTCGTAAACCGCCTCTTAAGGTCGAAGATATCAAAAATCATACTAAATATAGTAGACAGAACCAACCATTAGCCCTGTCTCTTGCTGTGATTCCATTCCCGGCACCAAGCCAAGTTAGCTCGAAAGCAAGTAAAGAATTAGCTCAAGTAAACAGAAACAGAAAGAATCAAAAGAAAAAGAGCAGCAAAGCTGGAATGAACCTTGTCTAATAGTATACCTTCTTCGATCTCACGACCCAGGTAGCAGTAGGCAAGTAGTGAATCATACCCCATTCTCTAACTAGAACTCCGGGTGAGCTTTTCAGGGCTATGACGAGGTGCGAAGCA